CTCATCAGTAAATATTTTTTCGTATGTTTTGTCATAACTTGCTGCAGCATTATGAAATTTAATTTATTGCAAGATTGTTTAAACAGATCATACTTGATTTTTTTTTTTTAATAATAAAAAAAGCAATAAAAGGAAAAATAATAATATACTTAGTCCATAATAAGATCGTTAGTTTATTCACATGTATTTTTAATTTACCAACCAATGTAATATATATCTCTGTAAGCTTCCGTTGAAAAATATTTGATTCAAATAAAGTTATTTACTTCGTCACAAAGATTAATGATTATTTTCTTGATAATATCGAAAGTTAATGGCATTAATAATTTTCTAAAAAAAGAAGCATTAAAATATCATTTACCGCTTGAATCATTTCAACACATAAATATAGTAAATTCCATAAAATCACATTGAGTAATGACGAAAAATTGACAATTTCGACACCGTGAGCATTATATATTTACTCAAATTAATGATAATAAGTAATCTGTTTTTACAACGTGAAAACAAATTACACTCTTAGTCACAAGTCTCGCAACTACTAATATATAATATCATTGTTTTTAAGGTAAATTATTAAAGAACCGGTGGTTAGTTAATAGTTATTTCATTATTCTGCAATCTAATGGCGATAGCAAACGAAGGGTACACCTTCCAGAAGTTATGGCTTTTACATGCTTTCCCTTGGATTGAGATAGGGTTGATAATAGGACAGGTCATGACCGTAACCGATAATGGTTGACCATTTGATTTTGAACTTTTTTTTTTTAAATTTTTTTAATGTTCGTGCCAAAGCATATACTTAATAACTTGAGTAAGTCAAAATCAAAATCATAAACATACTTGCTAAAAATCTTTCTAATAAGCCAAAAAATGTTTCAATTTCAATTATTAATATGAAACGGTCGTCCATCCATTCAGTTAAATCAATTTCAATCACAACAAACAGGTCGGTAAAGATCCGTTTATGAGCGTAACCATCCCTAGTTGAAAACCTGAAAAATCACTGGAACTATTAAATGTCCTTATTTTATAAATTTATTATCACACTAGAAAGCGAACGAACCGTGTTGCAACCGGTTCCGCAATTTTTAATACTACAATTTTAACAAGGAATCTAACTTTCTTTACAGTTACTTCTTCAGTGAATTCGAAACTGGGTATAATTGCCTGGCAAAACTCTCGGGTTTCGACGGTAGATCTATCATAAAATCTTATTGGCAAAACCATCGAAATATAGGGTTTCGACTTTTGCCATTTGCTAAAATTGGTTTTATCAAACAACTATAAATTTAAGTCTTTATACTCTCATTAATTTGATTTTAATTTCACAGAAAAATGGGAAAATAAATATCATTTTTGGGAAACCCTTTAGTTCTGATGTTTGTAGATCATGAATTAAGAATTTTCATTTCAGCATATATTTTAATTATTAAATGCATACTTTGTGTGCGAATTGTTTTTGCTAACAAAAAATATTAGTTAAAAAAGCTTATATGCTTCTACATAAGGAAATAAAGTTACGCATTGTTATTTTGCCTCAATTTATCAAAACCTTAATGACCTTTATTAAAAAAGGGTTGCAAGTAGATTCAAAAGAACTTTAGTTATAAGCGTTTACTATTTATTCATCGGATTTCTTGAATGACTAGCGACACGTCCTTGCGCAAAGATTTTTTCATTAATAATCAACTTCAATCTATTTATTTTTAATATGGGTCAGTTTTTATTTGACAAAATGCTGGAATTCATCTGACCTTTTATAAGAAGAGAATTATATATTTTCGTCTTAAAAAAAATTATCCAACATTAACTAATTTTTGATTATTTTCCAACACTTTCCATCCAAAGGGCTCATGCGTTATTTAGTTACTAAAAGCAATTTTATCTTTGTATTTTAACAACATTCTCAATCTTGCACTAAGGACAACGGAAGCATCAGGGTACAGTATATCTCTGTATAGTCAGCAAATAGAAGATGTAATATCAGCAACATGAAAAAGGAACATTAGCATAATTATTTCACAACAAGCACCATCGATTCATCCAAATTTCAATTAGCAACACAACTACTAACTAGCCCAATAAATTCTGATTGTCTATGGCCTATATGACATATTTTGACTACGATTTAGTGCAGGAAAGAAAATTTTCGACCTAATAACACTTGGTAATGAAGTAACCTACTTGTATAGTCACACTGGTCTGGTATTAATATCTAAAGTTGACCTTCGATAAGATTTCATACCAATACTGTGGATTGGCGTATGCAATTTCATTAAAGCACAATTTGAAATAATTACTCGTAAGACATTTTAAAATAAATGAATATATAATTATAGAAAAAAATATAAATTCTATATAATCAACGGCGCATGATATTTTTGGCGAATATGACGCATTAGCCTCGCAACATTTGTATGGGTTTTCTCAAATCATATTCTCAATTGATAAAAGATTCCGCTCTTTAAAAATGATAACTTATTTCCAAACCAAACAATAGTTAAATAAGTAATATATTCAGAAATTCAATAGTCTCTTAATAGCAGGAATTTAACGTAATCAAGGTTCCCTTTAACGGATTGAAATGCTTGCAGAAAAAATAAAAACCAATATTGAATATGTACTTCTGGATTCTCTAAATTTTTTTCTTGAAGTAGTATCTGTTTTAATAATATAGACGAGATCAAGGCTTGAATGAAAAATTTTAAAGAAAATGCCGCTTTAAGCATCTTTCAATTGGAGTATATCGTGCTATTAACGGGTTTCATTATATCAAAGGCGTACAGTACGTACGAAAGAAATGCTTTTCACTAAAGATGAAATTCTCGAATTTTGCATTGAATGATTGAATGTCGATCTATGGTTGAAAATTTTATTATTTGAAAGTTTGATTTTGAAACTAGCGAACGGCTTCGGAATCCGTTGTTAACCCGAAGCAAAAATACGTTCAACTCAATTTATGAGAGGGCGGACATTGGGACATTTTTTTGTCACTCAGCATAGACGCTCTGGACTAATAACTCGTGAATGATCATCAACTTACCACGGTTGTTATTGTTATAGGGGGAATCGCAAAAAATGTATTTTCTCCAGATTATTCTGGGGACTTTTACGTCTCATAGATATTAAATTATTTTACACCTATTTGAATATTCACCATATCGTTAAGTACAAAACAAAGAGAGTATACACCTTGAATTCACATTTTCTTTTTAAAAAATGCAGAAAAAATAAACATATTTGAAAGTTGATAAAAGGTCAAGAAATTTATTTTCACGATTCCAGCCAAAAAGCTTATGCGAAAACGATGTCAATATTTTGAATTAAAATTACAATTGTTCTTTGAGGAGCTTAACTTTTCATTATTCCTAATGCAAATGTAGTGATGTAAATGTCCTCGGCCATTTGTAATTCGATTAGATCCGGTGTTAGTCGCAATTCATACCGCCTCAGATGACCTCAGTATAACTTGTTAATCATGTTAAACATGTAATATATGTGACACATGTGACGTTTGCATTACGTTGGATAACATGTATCGGATAATTTACTTTTCATCACTAGTTTACTGTTCATTACTTGTATTATATTATTTAGTTTTCATTTATTATTATCGAAAGCAATTTTATATAAATATACCTGTAAGATGACCTTGAGTCGACAGAGTTCGATCAGATAGTTTTCTGAATAAGTCTTGGGATTAGACTTATAACTCTACAGATTAATAAAGTTACTATATTACACTTTCATCCTTCTTCTTGTCTTCATCATAGGATTGATCGTGATAACTAACTATACAAGTGAATCGTAATAATAAATTGTTTTGTTTGCAAATCGTTTATTTCTATTAGAAAAGGCCTTCGAGATAATCGATTTAGCTTGGTTTCGATTCAATTCCGGACTAACGCCGGTTGATTCGGGTTAATTTTACACATTAAAATTTATATAAAATCTCAAAAATCTGCATATAAACTTTGTTATTTTATATTCTGACGGGTCGGATCGGATTAAATATTAATTAATCGTTAAAGATTTTTTTTAATCGATGAATTTAACTCCGGCCGAAATTCAATTTTCGGCCAGAATTAAGATTTTTATGATTGTAAAATATTATAGTTATATCATTCTGTTAAATGTCTGTTATATTACATCAATTTCCGTTGCTTGCAAAGGGATAGCAACTAGTTAATAAAATTATGCTGTCGATCATATCCTAGATTTGACGTCTTTAATCAATTAAAGAACACCCCGATGAAATTTGCAAATAATAATGAATAATACTAAGTACTGTAGATGCATCTCCGTTGCCTATTTATTCAATATACGCCGCTTTAACGTTAAAAGCAAGATTCATCAGAACATTCAATTTCCTTTTCAGGCTGCGATGCATAATAATTTTGATTTAGGATCATCACATTCAATGAATTTTAATGTTCATCAAAGTAAATAAACTAATCCAAAACAAGATAAATAGTATGCTGCGGACCCATCATGATCCGGGTATAAGCTTAATTTGGCCGGATAAAAAAGATGATCGACCAATTTTCGGAGTTCGCAAACCGAGGCTAATTTAATTTAGAAAAATGTAAAATCAAATTTCATCGTCGCGTTATGAATCGTTATTTTACCTTCCCATATCAAGCAATCTACTACTTTCAAGTGAATATTTTCTTGATCTACAAATCGGCGTTATGGCCAAGGTTGATATGCACCAAACAGAATTTGGTATTAGATACTATCGCGTCAACTTTTCAGATGAGTCTAAACATTCAATGCAGGTTAAATAGTGAACGATCAACTTGTGAACAATAGTAAATATCTGTTCACGGAATTACCTTTCCATTAAATGAATTTTTAATCGGATATTTCGGATGCAAAGAAAATTATACGAACAGTGCGCTTATCTTTTTTTTTTTTATTTAAACAGCCGAAAGATAACTCAATTACTTTTTTATTCAAATCTATTTTCAAGAGTAACCTTTATTTTTTTTTTGACAATGAGTGAAGAAAACGGTTCCTTGGTCGAGTCATCTAAAAGAAAAACAATTTGGAAAAACCCTTATGATGAAAACCAGGATAAATATAAAATCATTAGTCCGTTAATTGATGTAATTGGACATCAGATGTACGCCATAAATACTTGTTACAATGTTCAAAGTTATATTACTATTACTGAAAGTGATATAGCACAAAACAAAGAGATGTAAGTTCTACTTTCAACATTAAAACTCTTTAAAGGTAAAGAAGCGTTTTATTAATTAATAAACCACAAAAATAGCGTTAAGGTATCTGATCAAGTCGCCGGGATATTGTTCGCTGCTGTTGGTTATCGTAATCATCTGATCGATATTATTTGCTCCATTGGTCTACTTAATCAAGGAATGGAGAAATTTTTAAAGTTCTACAATTATTCATCAACTCCAACAGAATTTCTTCATTATGTAAAAGATCCAATAGAAGATCTAATTGAAAAAGTTACAAGGTTAGAAAATTTTAGTAATGAAAATTATAAGATTCTTGAAATAAACCTTCGTTCGTATCTAGCGAATTCTGGTTCAGAAGGATTGGAATTAATGGTTAAAGATAATGTGGAAAAGCAACTGGAAATAAATAAATTACAAAAAGAATTGGATGAACTTCAAGAAGAAGCATACAATGATTGGATTAAATATCGTGAAGATTTCGAAAAACTTGTAGAAGAAGTTAAGACATTAGAATCACAAAGTGAATCTATTAAAGAAGATTTGGAAGATATTCGAAAACAAATAAAGGATTTGAATGAAGTCCGGGGAAAATATGAGCAAAAATATCAAGAAACGAAAAGTAATAGAAAACAGTTCTTTATTTTTTCTAATGATAATAAAGTTTATAAAGGTATGAATATTTGAGAAATAATTTTTTTAAAAAGAGAATTAGTCAAATTTGACTTTATTATCTTTGTTTTTCAGACTATAAAAGTAAGATGAAACATGCAGAAGGACAAATCGACTTAATGAAATCTCAAAAAAAGGAACAACGTAATATGGCAGATATCTTGATAGGAAAAGTAGAAAATTTAAAATATAAAAAAGTGACATTGGAGAATAAATATAAACTGAAATATGGAAACAAAATCGAAATACAAGAGGAGAAAATCAAAAAATCAAGTGAAGAAAATGAGAAAACCTCGAAAAAAATTGGAGAATTATGCGATAAAGCTGGTACAACATCAATCGGAGCGGCTATCGAACTGTAAGTTATGACATAAGATTATATTACAAACATCGTCACAACAGTATATTAATAATCAACTTATTATATATAGGCTAAAGGCTATTTCATGCCTTACTCAACAAGATACAAATACAACCAGTTACTATAAAATTGCTTGTAATCCCATCCAAACTTTACTTAAAGAAATTGAGGGACATCTGCAAACCCTTGCAAAGCTTTCTGGTAATAAAGAAATTTGCGATATGATTGTTAAGGATATTGCTGAAAAATTGACTCTAATTCAATTTGTGGTTAAAATTATTCAACCTGCTATAACTAAAACTTTGCAAGGCAAAAGTTTAGTTCATTCCGAAATTGAAGAGGGAACCATTACAAATTAGTTATTCATAAATTAGTTTTTTATATAATATAAATCTTTTTTGAAATTTCTTATTATAAATAAATAAAATTGTTATGAATAGTATTTTTTTTTATTTACTTAAATGTTCAGCTAGAGTTTGCAGTTTGTGGGGGGACTTTACCCCCATTTAACATTAGGTGATTATTGTGTAATCAGTTCAATTATACTATTTATTTTTGCATTAGCATTAATAAAATTTTTATTTGCAATTCGTTCGTAAGAAATGGCAAGATCTACATTGCAGTGATCAGCGGGGATAATAGTAATAAAACGCGTTATTACCAAGAATCTCTAACCGTTTTGAATCTAAACGACCCATACTTGAAGTAAAACTAGTTTCTGCTGGCAAATAATAACCCGGTTGCATTATGGAGTAAACTCAAGAGAATGGTGGATTATGAGAGGTGACAGCAATCTAGAAAATGGCACATTACTTTATACTATTCGTGTGGGTTGGCAAACTGCTATAGAACAAAATGATAAACGTTTTTATATGCATATAACTGAAGTAAATGAAGTAGTGAGTTACTGCCAGGATATAGGTGTCATTCTGGTAACAAATTTAGTGATATTGAAACAGCATCAATTATGTTATAACAAGTTTATACCAACGAATTTTTTTTAATTCAAAAACAAAATTTTCTGGACCTCTTGTTCTAGGTTGGGATAAAAATGAATTACTGGAAACGTGCTTTATTTATTCAAATGATTCGATCTGAAAATTATAAAATCTCAATATATCAAAACACATTGAACCAATATTTTTTTTGGTTATACTCCAACAGAAACATGAAAAATGCAGGGTTTACAAAAACTATTGTGATACATAACCGTTTGGTTTAAAATATCCAATGACAAAAAAGGCTATTAACGCACAACAAATTCATACATGCTTACTTGCATTTTGGAATAATGAAACATTTATGGATAATATTTTTAATCATCATTTAAGAAAATAGATACTTACAGTATTAACTGGCAACAATTATTTCAAAATTGGCTTGCACAGAAAAGCACAATCATAGAATTATATGAAGCACTCGAAAAAATATATCCGCCAAATTATTTGTATGATGAAAGTGAGCTTTACGCATTTACATGCAATGCTAAGAGCTACTGGATGTACAGAGATTATTTCATTTTCTAAAGATCAATCAAAGGTAATATTTATCAATAATTATAATAATTGATTAAACCAAATTAAACCAAACATATTATCAATTAGTATGAATTCTGGTCTCGAAATTCTAATCTATTGATAGATCAAAATATCTTAAAAAACTTTTAAATACTGTAGCAATAAATAAATAAATTATTAAAAAAAATTAAAAATTAAATTAAAAGATACAAAAATCATTAATTAAATATCATATTATTAAATTTGAAAATCAATTAATTAAATTTAAACTAGGAATTGTTTCTTACTATGGGTGATTACATCATTCTCTCATTGTATTTTTTATTTTTAATGATTTAAATAATATTATAAATACTAAGAATTAAATAGGTAACATAGTTTTTGATACTTCTTCTAATTACTAAATTTTTTAAATATAGATTTATGTTATTTCTATCATGTTCTTTCTTATCTTCTAATTTCTCATAAAAAAACCCAAAATATCAATCATAATATATAAATTAGTTTTTATTATAGTTTGCTTTGCCTAAAAAATCTAAAAATATAAATAATTTAATTTTTTTTATAAAAATTATAAAAGTGAAGTTTTACAAAACAGTTTTCATTGCCTCTTTCTAAATTTCCTATTCTTCCTAAAAATTCTTACTGTCAAGAGATATAAACACAGACACTAAACAATAATCACTATCTATTATTATTTTATAATGTTATGATTAAATACAAATTCTGACCAAAATCATTATAATTTTGTTTAAAGATCACTCTTGATAATTGCAGTTAGTCTCTTTAATGATCATTTGCCAGTTTGTTACAGTGCCAGTTTGTCAAGATGCTAGTTTATTAAGATGTTAATTTGGCTTAATTAATAATCTTTTATAAATACGAGCTGAAAATCCTAAAACAGCTCAATTTCATACTTATCTTTAGCATATTTCTTTGAAAATATTCCCTTCACTATCTTCCCTTTACACCTTCACAATAATTTTTAATTTTTGCCTTTTTAATTTTATAATTTCGCATTTTATAACACATTTTATTATTTATTTTTAATTTCTGATTTTATTAATAGTTTATTATACAAATTTTATGTAATAATTTCATAATTGCATAGTTTTAAATAATTAGGACTTAGAATTTAGCATTTACTTAGTTTAATATATTAATTTAGCAAAAGTGTAAAGGACTGATATTGAGGCAATATTAATCAATTTGATATACTTGTTACAATTACTTCATTTTTATTCAATAATTACTTAATTAATACCTTCTGCTTACAATTCAAATTGTTTATTAAATACATAATTAAAAGAACTGAATATAACACATGGTGCCTTCTGCCAGAATTTCTAAAAAACATTAAGATTATATATTTAACACCCATTTCAAAAAAAATAAAACACATAAATGCTTTCATCAAAAATTATGTCAAAGAAATATTGCAATTTATCACCAAGATCTTTCCTGCAAAGATTGCTATCCTGTAGAAAACTTACTAATAAATTAATTCAGAAACTTTTAGAATTAGTATTCAACTGAATATCTAATGAAAAGTTTTCCCAGAATTATTCAGCATCTCTTTAAGAAACTTTTGAATATCCAGAAAGGAGAAGAAACTTGGAAAATAATTTTAACCTAATATTTAGTATAAGTTATAAGCAAACTTCAAAAGAATCATTTATAACAATATGATAAATGATATATAATACCTTTATCCTTGCTAAAGAGATTGTTAAAAATCTTTTGATCATCCCTATTGTAACCAAAATATTATTGCATTAGTATTATCTAACAAAAGAAACATATTAAATCCTATTGATTTAGTTAACACCAATGATCAGGGCAATTTTCTTTTTAGCAATGAATTGATAAATTTAATAGAGCTATTCTAAGAAGAAAATATAATGGCAGCTCAAGCAATAAATATACAAAATTTAACTGCAGTATTGCAAGTATTGGAAGGAGATTTACAAGCTTTAGGACAACCAAATGTTAACAATATTCTTGCAAACTTATAGGTCTAAATGCAAGCTAACACAAATGTATTAGTAAACCCTCTGATAAGAAAAGTAAAGGTCATAGATGTTCAAATTTATTATAGAGGAAATCAGGATCCAGTAGGATGGTTAAAAGAATTTACTAGAGCCTGTAATGCAAATGGAATTGCTGATCCAAAAAATTAGAAGTCATTTTAGTCTACCTGAAAGGATTAGTAGAAGAACATGCAAACTGAATTATTACTTGAATAGAAAATATATATAATATTAATTTTTTTATTAACTTTTCTACACTATTTCAGTCTCAAATATTGATAAAGATTTGGACTATAAAGATGAAACGAAGATATCAATAACCTAATAAATCTATTGATACCTATACATGTACTCTTTAGAAATATACTGAAGGATTAAAACTTCAGCTTTTATTTATTCAGCTTTAATGAAAGCAAAAAGACTAGTCAATAGTCTCTTATCTAAATTACATTTAATGATAAAATCTACAATGATCAAACCAAGGATGTTGTGCTTAATAGAGCAAAAATATATAAACTTATTTACTAAGATCAGAATGCAGTAGCAGCATATATGAACTAGTATAGAGCTATCACACTGATTACTTAAACAAACACTCTTAATGAAGCTATACTTAACTTATCACAACAGATTCAGCAAATAAATGTTAAAAAAGAACTTATCAGAATGATGACATTCAACAATTTATAAACTATCAGCTGAATATATTTCTGATTGCAATGTTTTAATGAAGCAACCTAATTTGTTATCTATATAACCAGTCAGGTCATATTAAAGGAATTGTCCTAATAACTTTAATAATAAATAACCACTATCATTTAATCAGATACTTCCACAAATTTCATAGGTGAATACTTTGAATCCATCTAGAGTAATCTAATACTGGTTAATAATATTATCATAACTGTAAGTAATAACTTTTGAAATTCACAGTTATTACAGCTATTATTATAGCTAGTATTTGATAATGTTCAAGAGTAGTATTTATACTAGAGAGTGCATTACTAGAGGGTGATGATATAAAACTAATGATAATTCATTCAAATCTATCTTTATTCAAAGCCTATCTCACAGTTAGAATGTACTTCAAAGTCACTTTAAAAATACTGTATGAACAAAATGAAGAAGATACTGATAAAGAAAAAAGTGAAGATGATGAAGTAGTCTAACAATTAACTAACTAGACAAAAAATAAATAACCTGCTGTTAAAATAAAAGTTAAATGAAAATTACTACAAGTACTACCTATTAACAGCATGATCAATCCTTATATGTCGCAATGATTCTTTTATCAACTATCAAATATTACTAACAGACAATTGATAGCAATAAACTCAAAATTCAATCAATCAGTAATGAAGGCAATTCGAAAGCCAGTAGCCAAGAAACAAAAGAACCCATTATAGTAGAAGAAAAGAATGAACCTATGGACTCTTATTTATTAAATAAAAAATTAAAAAATATTAATTAATATACATAAAAAAATCAATATTTAAAAAAGAAACTCGTCAGCTTACAATCGTTGTAGTGATAGATCAGTCAGTTTTATTTTAATAGTTCTGTCCAGTTCTTAGCTAAAGCAGAGAAACTAATCGAACTTAAGTAGATAAAAAAAAATAAAAAAATTATTAAATAAAAAAATAAATATTAAAAAAAGAAACTTGACAACTTATTTTCACTGTAGTGACAGATCAATCAGTTCTATTTCAACAGTTCCATCTGATTCTTAGTCAAAGTGGAGGGACTAATCAATCCTAAAATAAAAGAAATAAAATAAAATAAAATAAAATATTAAAAAAAAATAATTAGAAAAGAAAAAAATCATTGATGGCTTATCTTTATTACAGTACAGACTGGTTAATTCTGTTTTGATAATTTCGTCTAATTCTTAGCTAACAATTAAACCTAATGAAATTTTTAATAATTTAGTAATAAAATAAAATATAAAAAAAACCTTTAATATGTAATAATTTTAAAATATTATAAATAACATTAATTAATAAACTTTTACAAATATAAAAATTATTCTGATTATTTCTGATTATTAAAAAATGTCTAATAATAAACTAAAAATCTATAGATTTTGACCTTATGATCTATTTGATCATTATTCACAAAAATCTTCATCTTTCTCACAAAATTCTATTAATAAAAATCAAATTAACTTTTATAATAATGAAAGTTTATATAATTCAAATGTAATATCAAATTCTAATTTACATTTTTCAAAATTAACCAAAACTTATCAAACTTAAATATTAATTTATTACCCCTATGAAAACTATCTCAACATTTATATAAATTTTATATATACTTTTAAAATACAATTTTATATTTACACATTTGTTTACTTTATGCATATTAAGTAAAATTACTATATTCAACTAAAGTTAAATGAATTATATATAATAAAAATTACACATATTCACTTGAAGTAAACTTTCCAAATATTAATGTATATATAAAAGGTAAAGGTTTATCATATGTATGTGTATGTAAAAGTTGTAAAAACAATAAAAACCATTATTTATGCTTATAACTTTATCCTATATCTAATGTAATTGAAGCTATACCAATTACACAAAGATGATTTTTTTCTTCAATATTCTTACACTATTCTTTAAGTAGAAATCTAGATGCAAATAAATATACAGAATACCATACCTTAGTAGGAGATATGAAATTTTCAAAAAATATGTGTACATTAAAATTATATTCTGAAATATTAGAAGCATTTTTAATTAATTCAAAAAATTATTATAATAATAAAAACTTCATGTGGCTTATTCTAGAATTATGTGCTGTTGCAAATTGGCTTAAATAACATAATAAATATTTAAAATTATTTATCAGATTACTTTTAACATCATCCTTTTTACAGAAATATATTTGAATTCATTTTTTATAATAGCTTATTTATCTTTTAATACAAATGCTCTATCTTTTCAAGAAGGTGATATTGTTTTACCATCAACAAAATTTTCAACAGAAATTTATAATGAAGATTTTTACTATACTCATCTAATGGTTAGCTTTGTATAAACATCAATAATAACATTATCACTTTCTTTTGATAATTCAAATCTTGAATCATTATTATTTTCAGATCTATTTCCTAATGAAAATGGTCACTTTTTCTGATCAAAATGCAATCACTTCTGAAAATGATTCAATAAAAATAGAAATATATGAAAAATATATAAAACATCCTCTATTATATATTAATTCATGATTTTGTTTATATCTTTACTAGCCATACTACTTATATTTAAGATTAGAAAAGCTATGAAATTATCAAAACATAATGTGTCTTTGATATTAAAAAGAATAAGATAAAATATATCATTTATCAACAGCTTCAGAATTTATTACACATAGTATATATTTAGAAAAATATATGATTAATGAAATAAAAATAATTATATTACTATTATTTATATGAACAAAAGATACATATTTTAATAAAAAACTTTTACACATAAATGCTATGATGAAAGATATAAATTACCATTACTTTTTATTACCTTAACTGCAGTAGAATCTAAATGGACTCACTTAAAAGAGATATTAAAATAAACAGATAATAAAATACAATATTGATAAATAGACTATTAGATATACTGGGAGGGGGGGGATAAAAATATTATATGACTTAAAAATAAAAATTTAAATAAATTTTTTATAAGTTACTAGCCATGTGATTTTTATACCAAATAGGTTAGCAGTTGCTTTAAAGGGATATTTGTTTATTGTTTTAATTAAATGTATAACAATTAATAAATTTTACTTTTTAAAAAATCCAAAATTTTCACCTTTGCGCATAAACACGTGATAGGCCTCACTAAAGAATTAACTCTTATACAAAAAGAAGGTATAATAATAGCTAATAAATTGGATCACATAAATTCAGAGATTGCAAAAGCTGTAAAATATTATCGAACAACTATTTCAAGATATCTTGCAGCTTATAAATCAGGAGAACCTTTCAAAAAATAATCAGGTTGACCATACTTAATTAATAATCAAGAAAGGTAAAGATTAAAGGCTGAAGTTCTCAAAAGCAAAGAATTGAGATGGAAAAATTTAGCAGATATTACTAAAATAATTTCTGCTAAAAATAATAAACCAATTTCTAAAAGAACTATTCACTATGCATTTCATGAGAAAAATATGTCTTTTTGTATTCCTTAAAGAAACCTTTAATTTCAGCAATTAACAAGACTAAAAGGCTTGCATGAGCAATAGAAAAAAAAGATTGGACCATTGAAGACTGGAAAAAAATAGTCTGGACAGACGAGTCCACCTTTTCTCAATTTCACAAATCTGAATGGAGATGAGTGTGACGAGAACTAGGAGAGGAATTTCATGAAGATTGTATTGCATCGACTGTAAAACATTCTCCTCAAAGGATGTTTTAGGTATGTTTTTACTTTTTAAAGTTAGGACCTATTATATCACTTAAAGGTTCAATTACTAGAGAAGTTTACAAAGGTGTTCTTGCCACTTATGCAGTTCTAACGCTCAAGAAATTTTTCTGAAAAACAAAAAAAAAATTTATTTTTCAGGAAGATAATATGTCAGTTCACACTTTGAAGGTTATACAAGAGTTTTTGCTTTCTCAAAAGATATATTTACTTCTATGGCCTACTCAAAGTTCTGATCTTAACCCAATTGAGAATATATGGTCTATAGTTGAGATAAAAATTCAAAAATGCAATTCTCAACCTTTAAGCATTCCTGAGCTTGAAAAGACAGTAAAAGAAGCGTGGGATGCAATATCACAAAAAGAGTATTGAAATTAAGTATGATCAATGCTAAATAGAATTCAGGTTGTAATCGATGCTAATGGAAAACATACTAAATATTAATGTTAATTTTTTAAAAATAAAAAAAAATTGTATGTTTCTGTAAAAAATAAAAAATTATTGAAAAAATAAAGCGTGCAATACTTTTGTCTTCTCCCTCCGGTAGCTCTACATTTTATATATTGTAAAAAAGAAATTTGAAATCATATTTGAAGAAAACTTACAAATAGCAATTGGAATCATCTTAATCATTTTTTTAAACATGTAGAATTTCAAAATAGAAAAGTATCACATACTCATTCAATACCTTGGATTGAAAAAAGTATAATAGAAATGATAGCAGAAAATCTAATTAGATCTGATTTACCAGATCAAACTTTAAATCAAAACTTTACCAATTAGTATTAACAAATCAAATTCATACATATAATCTTAGAAAGTATGGTGAACTAGCATCTTCAGATCAAATATGCAAAAAAAACTTTTCTCAACCATATTCTCTAATTACGTATTATAATATTTAAGAATTTAGATATATATATCAATATATAAATGAAAAAGATAGATGGTAGTTCTTTAGCATCCACCTACACTTTTATTATGAAATACTCATATGAATATACAATATGTGAGTATTAAAAATTTTGGTAAATATTTAACCAAATATGTTATTAAATTAGAACTTTTATATATATTTAATATATTAGAAGGTGATAAATATCATGAGCATATAATTGCTTGATAATTGAGCTTAATAGAATGTATGTTTTATTACTTGGTTAAACAATATGAAAATTATTAGTAAAAGTAAAATACCTACCTACTAAACCACTAATAACTCTTTCACGTGTAATAAGACTAATATCAATAATATTAAAAGATGATATTGATCTATATTGAAAAGATACAATTGAAAAATACTTTGCACATTCACATGATGAACAATTTGATAATATAACTTATCCTGATTATTTTAAAAATTATACATTGTCAACCAAAATTCTTCAAATAATAAAATTTACAAAGATGATTTAAACTATTATATTGTTAAAAGAACATCTCTATTAATTATATATTATTAATAACTTAAAATTTAAAATGGAAAACTATATTTTTATCAACAATTACTTTTTATATTATCTTACAAATCAAAAGATGAATTACTTGATAATTTTACATCTGATCAAGAAAAATATTTAAATTTACATTCAGATTTTCAAAATTTAATTCAAAATTCTATAAATATATTACTAAATCAATTTAATATAATTATAACTAATATATTAGAAAACCTTGAAGGCAAAATCATTTCACAAATATCAAAAATTCTTACCAAACAATTAGATAATTTAAAATTAATACTA